CCTGCTGAGACTGTAAATTGTATAAATGTACATCCTCAGTGTTTACAAATTCTTTCAGTGATGGAAGGATTTTTAGCAAGAACTGCAGCTTTCGGTGTTTAAATTATTTAGTAATGCAATTCTAAATTCGTGATTTAGTCTTGATTGTGTCCTTTCCTGTCAAAGAGCATGTAAATGATCCATTCTTATGTAAGTCCCGTTTTTATTTAGAAATTATGAAGTGAATTAGTCAGGGAATTATTTGCATGTAATAGATCTGAACATTCACAGTGTTCTGTATTTGTAATGCATGTACATTTTAATGACAAGAGCTTAGCACATAGGTGCACATTAGCGGAACACTGCAATTCATGCAGTAAATCTCTTGCTGTTTTTCCTAAACCTTTTAGCTGATTTCAAAGAAAATATTAGAAGGGCCACCCTTTTGGATCATACTCTACTGAGCATGAGGCTTTCTGTCCTCAGTGTTCCCATTGAAGTCAATAGGACTACTTATGGGACAAATTTCTTTGTCCTGGATCAGACCCTTCCTTGGTAAAACTGTTTCTTATCTAAATTGTACTTACCTGTTTGCTAATGTCAGTTTTAAATCCTTCAGTGCATGAGCTACAAATTGAAAACTATAAATTTGTAGAATTAGGATTGCAGAAAATTTTCAAATAACATGTAGATTGTCTTTCCACATTTTAGGGCATTAGGATGGTGGTGGTCTTTTTCTTCCACTTGTTGAATGTTTGCTTCATTCTCAACGTTGGATGAAAAAGAAAGTTAGAAGATTGTGTAAAAGAGCAGGAAAATCTTGTTTTCCGTACATTTTGTTATGTATTTTTGCTATTGGCTGTTTATGTAACTTGAATACAGTAGCAGAGCTGTTTTCTTTATGTTGGTAATTATACTTCTAAATTGTTGACAGTCAGTACAGTATTTACAGCTCACACAGCAGAATATGTAGTTGGCTTACCATAATCACATGATTTTGAGAAAAGGGCTTTTTCTATATAACACTGAAAAATGAGTGGGTGATTACAAAAATATACAAAATCTTCCTTGTAGGGAGCAAGATTAGCTTTATTTTGGGTTTTAAAATGTTTTGCTTTCACTGTGAACATATTTTTCATTATATGTAAAAGACATGTACCTTCTGCCTCTTTTTTTTGTAATATGGGACATTATTATTCCTGGAGACATCATTAAAATAGATTTTTAAGTACCTGGGTTCATGCTTATTGAAGCTATAACAAATGCAGTTACTCTTGAACTAGTAGTCAGTGGTTGCAGATTTTTGCCATGTCATGAATTTGTAATAAACCTTTATACGGGAAAAACTCTCTCATTGTAGATATGCTCAAGGTTCTAACTAGCAATTTGCAGCCTAGACTCTTTTCTAAAAGTATAAAAAAAACTCCAGTGTTTTGAAGTGATTCTGATAGGAAGTTATATTTACCAAGTATTTCTGTAATTGCCAGTATTGTATTTCCAGTCAGAAAGGACTACGTTTACAAATGTTCTTCCCTTTCCCAACTGGATTTTGGGGAGGTCTAGGCCTTTTTATTACTGTATTTTAACCCTGGTATAATTCACTTTCAGTTACACAATCTATGGTGTAAGGTAAAACTCAGCATAAAGAGTAACTCAGTAAAAGAATTGAGTGTTCAGTGAACAACTGGTGGGACTGATCTGATTTGCTGGCATTTGCATGTGATAAATCCTCAGACTTTATTCCTACACCCATTTATTTTGACTAGTAAGACCGGGCCCAGCTCCCCACTCAGCTGGGGTCTGCACAGCAGGGGCCGGGCCTACACAGTAGTGATATCTGCTCCTCCCGCTGACAGGCTCCCGCTTGCACCTGTCGTCAGCAGGGATTGATTGGACAGTGGCACTGGCTGGCTCTGGGGGCTGGGTGGTGCAGGGCCAGGCATGTATGGCGGGCGCACCTGCTCCCCCACCAGTGCACCATGCCCAGGGAAAATCCCTGAGCCTTAGGAATTGCAACAGCTACAATCTCCAGGGGCTGGGGGTTTTGCACACTGCAGAGCCCTAGGAATCAGAGCAGCCGTGTTCCCTCTGTACTTAGCTTTTGTACAAATGTAAACATACCTATCCCACACAGGTTCCACAAAATAACAGACTTTCAAATCAAAATTTAGTCGATGCCACCTGTATTCCATTTGTAATTCATATTGCAGAAATTACTGGAACATCAGAGTAAATCAAATCTGAAAGTAATACATTTTCTGTAATGATACTGAAAAGCAATAGGAATGAAATGATTGTAAAGAGACAAGAAGAATTACTTCATTGGACATCCCTGACAGAGAACAACCTAAAAACGGGACACGGTGTCAAAAATCCAAGTGTGTACTGAGACATTTTCACATTTTCCCCCTTGGATTTGTGTGGGATGCTGGACAGAAAGGTAAAGCTTTATTTGCAAGATAATAACTTCACAAAGTATTTATGGTGATTGTATTTGAGTATTTCAATTACATAAACTTAATGATTTTCTTTACATGCCACCACTGTGTTTAAACAAGCTCAGCATAGTGTGGTGTATGTAAACAAAGGTTTTTAAACAGTTTATTTTGGTAAGAATTACACTGAATTACTTCAAAATTTTTACAGCTCTCCATGCACTTAAGTGTTTAGTTCAAGCATGTGCATCAGCTCTTTGGGACAAGGACTATGTTTTAACGATTCATGTGCACGGTACCCAGTATAAGACAATCTTGATCTCTCTTCAGTGCAACTGCAACAACAGCAACAACAACAGTGGCTGTGGTAGTAGCAGTGTAATTAGGCACTGTACTCTGTATTCCAACATAATGGGTCCCGTTCTTCCCATCCATTCCACTGAAGTCAGTGAAACTTGTGAGGAGGTATTTGCAGGATGAAGCTTGGTAAGGTTTACCAAACACAGACTACAGTCCTGCAAGTGATAGCTTCATAATGCCATTGTTTGCATGATGCAGGCAATGGGATTCCTTGAATTAATTCTTGTTTGAAGTAGATATCTTTAAAAAAAAAATCCAACCTTGGGTCCCCAACAGTGACAGAGAAGCAAACATTTGTATACCAATTGTGAATTAGCCTGCCTTTTAAAAATCTGCCTGTTATTTTTTCCTATGAATTTGCATAGCTTCATCTTCCAGCCAGAGGATCTGTTTATCTCTGGCAGCTAGGTTGAAGGCTTCTCTATTACAAAATGTCTGTTCCCAAATAGGAGTAGAATGCTGCAGAGCAGAGCACAGGGAGATCACCACTGGCCTTTCTACTCCCTGCTTACAGTCTCCTGATTAGAACCAAGTACATGTGTGTTTGATTCCTAGAATGGCTGTTTGACTTTCCTGATCCTCTTCTTCAAGGAATCAGTTTCCTTACTAGTTGTTTATTTTTCTGTGCTTCCCAGATGTATCCTTAGCAAGGTTATGGGGACAGGGAGTAGCTCCATGTGGTTTGTGGTAGTTGAGGTCCAGCCTTCAAATTGTTCCAAAATGCAGGTGCAGACAGGCACACTCTCAATGAATTGACCTCCCAGGCTTTCTCACTGTAGGTAATGTTTCCCATTGAGTGCTGACTCCTGGTTTACAATCACATTTTGTTACAATTTTTTTAATCTGCTTAATGTGTGCCAGTCTGATTTTATGTCGTTCTAATTTCTTAATCAAAATATCACAAAGCACCAAATCAGATGCCTCAGTGAAGTCTCCTGCATTCATACTACTACTTTTATACATCAAATTTATCTTTAAAAGATATCAAGATCTATTTTCCCCAAAACCCATATTGGTTGGCATTAATTACATAACAACTTTAATTTTTAACTGAATCCTGTATCAGCTATTCCATTATTTTTCCCAAAGCCGATGTCACTCTGATAAGTATTAAATTACATGTCATCACATTTACCATTTTTTTTACTGTTGCAGGATTAGCTGCCATGCTGTCCTCTGGAATTTATTCAGACTTATAGCAGGTTCCAAGACACAATGAAAATCAACATTAATAGCAGTAAAAGCTTCCTAGTCACCACTTTTAAAACTCCTGAATGCAGGTTATCCTGTCGATTTTAAACTTTAGTAACTTTTCTTAATGCCTTGCTGAGATACTGCTGGAGCAAAAAGTATTTATTTATCATTGGCTTTCCCCCATATTCAAACCAAAAAAAATCAGCTACAGGGGAGGTCTTGCTGATATGGGTGGGGTTTTGTACAGGCACACTACTGCGCAATCCATTGTGGGACCAGGCCCAAAGTCTCTTTTGCCAGGCACAGTGGGGAAAAACTACAAATACAGTCTGTGAATAATGAAGTACAGTAGGAAACTTGAGTAAGTCATTTCTGTATTATTGGAAAAGGTGATCTTTACGAGCAGTACAGAAAATAAACAATCTTTATGAAAATGGGAAGCCAGGGCACTGAAGACAATACGGGTGATACTGGATCTATCAGTGATGTCACTGTCTGTAGCTTTCATCAGAAGTGTACATACAAAAACAACAACAAACCCTGATATTTGTCTGTTAGTGGCCTTTCTGCCTTGAAATAAAATAAGCTTGTTGCCAAAGATTCCTGTCTCCTTCTGATCAGGAGATGGCCATTCTGTTTCCTGCACCACAAGTAGCTATAGGAAAGTAGACTCCTTTCTTTTCCAAATTTCCTGTATGGTTATTTTCCTTTCTAAATGTAAAGAGAGAGAGAGAGAGATAAGAACCAAATGCAGTGTATTCTCTTTATTAAAGATTTCTGGTGTTCTATTATGTCTTGCCAAAGATATTTAAAAGAAAAAATGTGTTGGGAATGCCTAAGGGTGTTTTTTCCATTTCTCATTTAATAGATACATTTGTTGCCTGATGGCTAAAATCAGAGAATGAAATAGGCAATTACTCTAGTTCACTGCAGACTTGCAGTCTACATGCCATGTTAGCAGTCCTAAATTAATTTGTTTTTCCTGTAGGAAGCAGTATGTAGTTTGAGCACAGTATTACCAATCCATTTAGGAATTGGTTTAGCACAGGTAACAACAACAAAATTACTGGAGAAATGTTTCTTTTAGTACATCGTAGTCTCCTTTTATTCAGAAGCAAAACCATCCCCAAATATCTATAAAGCATTATTTACTGTATAGGAATATTTGCTGTCACTGATTTGAACAATATGAAATATTCTAGTTGTATGGCTTGTGGTATTTCAAGTCTGGACATAGAAAACACATTCTGATAGAAATGCAGAGCCAGAAAGGAGAAATCCACTCATTCATTTATGAAATATACTTTATTTTTATTGTGCTTTAGTTAAGTCTCAAAACTACAATAGAGAGTATTACTAAATATTCAGTTTAAAATAGGGCATTTTAACCATACTCTGGCTATGAAGACATAGTAGCCTGCATATACAGGCTCACATACACTAATCCCTACAGATACAGATATAAAATGCGTGCTAGTGTGATATTAAGGATTTATTGGCATGACTTTAGGATTATGAATTGTGCAAATATGAAAGAAATATACTGGCCACCCTAAATGACTGACAGTAGATCTTTTAAAAATATTTTAGTAGTTTTGGAAGGGGGTATTTTATTGACACTTTATTTTGCATACCCTTCACTCTTAAATACATGAATTATCATTAACATTAATCTCACTGAATAGGCCTTGAAAGGATGAAAAATTGATTACAAATGCATGTAAAAAATAACCTTTCTGTACATAATAATGTTTCAGTTTTACATTCCTCTATCCTTGACATTTCTAGGGATATTAGCAAGTGTTGTGTATTGCACTGAAGAACACAGATTATCTTCTTGTCTTATCTTCTTACCTCAGACTATCCATGGACCAGATTTGAATGGACCAGATCCATGGACCAGATTTCCATCATGGGTCTCGGGCCAGGGGAATTTGAAAGAACAATTCCACTTTTGAAGGAAGGAGAAGGAAAAAAAAATTCTGTAGCTTATTGTTTAAAAAAATGTTTAAAAATGATCAAATATGAAACTGCATCTCCTCCTCCTTCAGCTGTTAAATTATCTTCCATCTGGTTTCTGTTTCTTCTTTCTTGTATCTGGAGAGATGGGACATTCTTTCAGATTTCTTTCTGTAGTCTGAGGTCAGAGAGATCAGCTTTAGCATAGATGCTGCAAATACTTCGGATCATTTTTAAATTGGTTGCATGTCATGTTTTCACT